TATATATATATATATATATATATATATATATGTGTATATAATTTTTCCGGAATTTTCAGGAAAGTCCACTTTCATGCATAATGGGACTCATACTTTTCTGATCAGCGAGTCCCTGGGACTCGCAGGGCTCAAACTGTAAAATTATCACTGCTGTCTCGCCCAATTGATTCAGTTTTTCTGAGATGCAGCTCTAGGCTCCTGTCATGGCATGCAATTCAGTTCTGGGTTATGAGCATATTAAGTGTTGCACTCCATTGTTGCATATTGCAGCACATACCATAGAATGAATTGTGTTACTTCATATGAGTCTACATGACTCATCTCCACCAGTGGTCCCCAACCTTTTTTGTCCCACAGACCGGTTTAATGTCAGACAATATTTTCACGGACCGGCCTTTAAGGTGTGACAGATAAATACAACAAAATAATATGCTATGGCCGGCATGAAAACTATGGTATTTTTGAAACATAATAATAAACACGATCATGACACGAGGAACGTCCTATCTGGCTGCAACACTCTCTGGTCGCTATGGTAACGTTCAAACGTGCCTTCAAAATAAGATATACCACAAATACAAAGTGCATAAAAAATATGACTCACCATCACCGCATATTAAGCAGAGTGTGCTTGGTGTGTGGCAATCTCCTGTTGACATAAATCCGTATTTTCAGTAGGACTCCTGATACTGTCCATTAAATGTAGCCTTCTTTTTCTTGAAAGTCGTAGGCTCCTCTTCTGTCTCCTTGCTGGGCTTTTTCCTCTTCCCAAAGAAACTTTCCAAAGACGTTTGTTTTTTTTTTTATTCATTTTGCTAGCTGCTGGGTTTCATTTTAGCGCTAACCTTTCACGTGACAGAGAAGCGTGCCTTGACCTGCGTCAAGAGTGACATACTGTAAACGGATGTAAGAGAGAATCCGGTAATTTTTCAAAATAAATCTTTCAGATTCCGAAATACATAAAACATAAATAATAAGATTTATTCTTTCTATGCGGCCCGGTACCAAATTACCCATGGACCGGTACCGGGCGGCCCGGGGGTTGGGGACCACTGATCTACACGACTTGACCACACTGCCAGCGTGGAGACTGGAGACAAATAGTGCAGAGCACTATTTCACTGGGCATCCAATTTTGTCACTCAGACAAAAAGCTTTTGATCATTCTTGTCATCATACATTGCATGGGTGAAAGCATGTGGGTCCCCTCCTTGGAGAACCATAGTGGACAGATGGGAGAGGAATGCGCGTGTCTCTTTGCACTCAAATGTTTGCAGTCATGATTGGTTTTGTGAGTTAGAGGTGTCAAATGAGCTCGTTAATTGCGATTAATTAATTACAGACTATTTAGCGCATTATTTTTATCTCGATTTTAATCTCTGCCTTTATTGTTTGTGTAGGTGGGTTGCCTTTTTCTAATAGCCCTTTTTATGTGTTGGCTTCCTGTGTTTGAGTTGTTGAGAGTGGGGAAGCAACTGTCAGTCACAGCCTGAAGCGGACATTGATTGGCTGCCATTATGTTGGGGCTTGTTTAGCCGAAGCTGATAGTTTCCCATTGGAGTTGGGCCGGTTTAGTAAGCAGTGGTGAGGAGTGGAGAGGTGTAAATGTAGGAACATGTGAGAGTTCTTGCCACAATGAATGGAAAATTTGCATTCCAAAACACCCTGATGACACAATTGATAAAGGTAGAGTGTTGTGCCTAATTTGTAAGGAGTTTGCTTACCACCGAAGCAGCTCAAATTTAGCCTCCCACATCAATGCAAAGCACCCACTCGTGAGTGCAGCCACAGCTAACGTTAGCACCGAAAGCGTTAGCAATATAGCAAGCGAGCCATACATACAAAGCTCTTGGGCAAACTAAACTCAAGAACACCCCACGTACGAGGCATAGTTGATGTGTCCTCTGTCGACTACTGGAAGTGATTGATGTTTTTTTCAGCGTTTTTAGTTTGTCATGATGAACAGTGTTATTTCTGAAGTGCTAACTTACAGCACTATGATTTAAGGGTCTGTTTTATTTATTGTTTATTATCTGAAGCAAGTTCAGTGTTGAGTACTTGCATTGCTCAGAAAATTGTTCTTACTGTTTTTAATATGTTAACTTAAGCACTTTTTAAGAATCTGATGTTCTATTTCATTTTTATTGTGTAATTCTTTGGAGATTTACAAAAACAAACAAAACAGTGATATTCCCCCACGTGGTTGAAACTAAAGGTTGCAGGTAGGACTTTGACTATTCTCAAATACAGCAGAAAGTAAATGGCTAGGATTGCATCTGTCCAAGTCTGCTGAAAAACAATAAAATACTTTATAATGCCGCTTTTTCTTTTATCTTTTCTGCCTCAATAATGTAACGAATTTAAAATGAAAATAGGGGTTTTCTCAGTCATTTTTAGATGTGATTAAAATATAGATTAATTAGATTAATTAATTACAGACCCGAATTAATTAATAACAATTTTTTGAAAATTGCTTGACAGCACTAGCGTGAGTGTATTTCATCTTTGTGTATGAAGTTAATGGAATTGCTGCATTATAACAGCAAATAGCCTGGCTGGTGTTGAGCTGCAAAGTGGGACAGGCACACGAGATCATAACAGACAGACTGACTTGTTCTGTCATTCTCATGAAGCCGTGTTGACTTCTTTTCTTACACTTGTCTTTCACTGTCTCCCTCCCCTCATTTCCTGATCCATTTGTGCCTCCTCGTTCCGCCTCTGTGAAGCCATCTGGTCCGTACTGAGAGGTAAGAAACCATCCGAAAGGGTTGTTTTATTTTGTCATTATCTCAATTTCTTGCGGTTGATCTTATTTATTTTTAGGATTATTTATTTAATCGATGATGGGGAATTTCAGATACAAAGTGACACAGAAACTGTCTCTAAGTAATCATGGTATTGAGTAAAGTGCAGAGCTCCACCAAGGCTGAACGAGTCTCACGCTGCATTCACACCTAAGGCAGTGCTTCTCAATTATTTTCTGTTATGCCTTGCCAACAAGAAGAAAATTCGCTCTCTTCCCCACTATCTGCCGCCACAATAATCATCATTGGTCGATAAAATTGTTAAAAGTACACCTCTGCGTTACATTGTATCCTTATTAACATTAAAGAAAAGAAAAAAGAAAAACATGTATTTTATTTATAGCAAATTTATAGCAAAGAATAACTTTATTAACATTGTCATCAATTTGCCTGAAAAAAAATTCAATAAATAATAATAAATTCTAATTCAGTTCAGTAACATTAAGTCAGGAGCAGAATATATAAAACACTTAACAAAAATAAATAATTTGTGCTGATTTATTGATTTATTTCTAAATCAAACTGAGCAAGTCAGGATTGATGGCTAAGATGAGCATGTTTTGCGGTGCACAACTTTTCCAGCGGATTTTTAGTGTGATTGAGGTGTGTGTAATGTCTTTAAGTGCCGCCTTGATTTATTTGGCTTCATGCTGTCTGCTGCCATAATTTTTAGACACAGTTAACACCGGCCTTTGCTTGTCTCCCACTGTAGTCAGTGTGAATCGAAGTGCTACATATGCTTTGTCATATTTCCTTATTTTAGCTTTCGGGTGACTTTATTTGGTCTCGTTATCTTCGTCTTTCTCCGCCTTTTTTTTCGCCTTTTTGTTAAATTTTTTTCATGTTGTCTCTTGAGGGTTTGTTTTCTGCACTAAATATCGCCTGCTCAGTGCAAAAAAGAAAAAAAAACAAAAAACGACACCATAGAGCTAATATTCACACAATACGCACACTCTCTGACAATGAGGGCGCCACCTCCAACTCCTTTAGTGGATGTGTAATTGTCATGTTTTGCGAGGTGGTAGTTGGAGGACCCCAAAAAGCAGGGAGGCATGGAGGAGCAGGGTGGCTGACCAAAATGTATTTAACAAAAATGCAAACAGGAATACACTGGAGAAACTAACTCCAAAAATCACTCAAATAAAGTAAAATGTATTCATAAGAAATCAAACTAGCAAAAAAAACCTAAAACAGAAAACAAAACATAACACGTGCACACAGCAACAATGACCCGACACTGAGTGGTCGGGCATCAAGTATTTTAAAGTGGCAACTAATGACACAATGACCAACAGATGTGCCGCTGCAGGCGGAACCCTACAGTGCCACCTGTTGGTCACATACAGATCCATGACAGTAATTACACTTTATTCTTATTCTATTCTCTTGGGCAAAAAAGCATGTTTGTCCAGAGTCACCCTCCCCCCACCCCCACCGGAAGCAGCACCCCACTATTTGAGAAGGACTGACTTGTTTCTTGCTGGAATTTGATCGCAGGATACCTCAAAGTTAGCTGCTTCATTCACATCATGCTACATTAGAGAAGAGGAAGGGCTCCGCCTTCGCGTCTGGTGGAGCAAAAATCGCTACGACTTTAGCGAATGCTAACTGCTATTACTCTATTGGTTCACAGTTCAACAGTTGTAAACAAGTAAATGCACATACCACATACGCCAACTTCCACAGTCACCATTCACCTAGCCTGCTGTTTTTCATTCTGTCCCAGCTAGTATTGGAAGCTGGCTGGCTTTGTTTTCCAGTTACGGATGCCAACAGATCGCAATGAATATTTTGTCCTACATTGTTTCTCCGCGCTACCTACACAGGACGTTGTGTGTGAGGAAGTCCATTCTCAACCCAGATTGGAAGTCGCCTCGTGATGTGTGTGTTCCAGTCCGAATTGATCAACTTCAGTGAATGTGCTCACCCTCACTTGCGTTGCCTCAAACCTGTCAAATCGTGCTACCTACCAATCGTGCTGCCTGGCAAGAGTTCGCACTTATGCGTACTTCACAACTTTATCTGTAAACGTGTCTTGAGAATAGTTCAATTCGCGCTTGGTCTGACTGTGGCAGACTCGGACAATGGGTTAAGTTGGCTAATATTTTGATTTGAATGAACAAGTTGACAGATCACAAAGATTAACAGCATCCCCTGGTCGAAACATTCCCTCTGGGTTTGGAGCAATTCGAGGGGAGGGGACAAGGGAAGTGGTAGTAAAACAGACAAAATCCACATGTGAGGCAGGATGAGATACTAGTTGCAGATTAGGTGTGCTGTGGCATAGAAAAAGCCCTAAATTGAGCTTTCAATAATTCTTCAGCGATAGATCATCTAATTTCCACAGGTAGGGAATTCCGGAGTCCTGAATTATCTTTAGGTACCACAACTTTGCAATCGGTACCCTAATGCAGGGGTACCAAGTTGGTACTGCAGTAAATGGAATTACGGAGCTTTTCTTGACTGTTTTTTTTTTACTTGCAGGACTTGACTGTTTTGTTTTTCTTCAGCAGAGGAGATGGCCGAAGATGGTCTGTGGCATCAGTTCCCTCCTCTGGATACTGCACCAATGCACCCAGTTCATCAGTATCTGTAAGCTTTTATTCAAATCAATATATTTGTGTCCCTCTGTATCTTGCTTCCAAGATCCCCGCAGTCACCTTTGCTGTGTCTGTCTGTGCCAGCTCCTAAGCACAGCTGATGCTTCACCCCGGCAATCAATTTTCAAAGTGTGAAACTCTCACCTGCTGAGAGGCTTGAAACTGCCCATGTGAACACTGTATGTGTTTTGCTCCATCGGAGAGTCTGGAACGTTCGTTCATTCATCGCAAGTCCGTGTTCTTGGCAAAAGGACAAATGCCGCTGACTTCTTCAGACTGTTGGGGTGGTGTCATTTCACACCCGCGCGTCAGCATTTTTGAGGTCCCGTGTATGACTTCATAGTGAGTCGTCGGAGGTCAAGAGACCCTCACACCAGACTTTAATAGCACGCACAGGTCAATGAAATAGTCCACATCAAGTTGAGTTATATATGATGGAATAAAAGGAGATGGGATCGTGTTTCCATTTGTTAGTCATGATAACAAGATGTGTCTGATGATAAATACTTGAATCACAGCATTTTTTTCGTGCTGCACAGAGGGAAGAGATGAATCATCGAGTGCTCTCCAAGAGTAATGTCGATTGTTTCCAAGAAAGCTTTGTCCTCTGTTCTCTGTATCAGACTAAATTCAACTAGACTAAATATCCAGAATGTGTAGCTGTTAATGGAAAATTAATTTGAAGCCCTCACAAGTGAGTGCTTTTTTTTTCGCCTGACAAATGAGCAGGGGCTGTACAGTATTAGACATGTGCCCACTCTATTTAGCCTTTTGGGAAATGTTATAGTACGATATTAATTGCGAGTTATATCCATTACGTTGTTTGTGTCTGGTTTCTGTGGTGATGGTCTTGATACTTTATCTTGACACTCGGTACTGAAACTGCAGTTGGCTGTAAAACAATAGTTGGGTCCTCTGTCACGGCTGTAATTTTGCATGGTCGGCCACATGGCTCAGAGATGGTGAGGTCAGCCCTCTCCACACAAAGGCCCTTTCAGGGATCCTTTCAGTGAGTTCTTTATACTGCTCTGGCTTGAAACATCTCTAGTTTCCTACCCAGGCTTTCTCATCCTCTTTTTATCACCTACTTTCAGTCTTACTTTTGCACTCTGCCTTTTTCACTTCCAATCCTCCATCCTGCAGTTCCCCTTTACATTTCAGAGCCCAGCTAGATGCGAGTTTTCATAAATTCCAGGCCTCATGTCACACATTTTGTCGTGGTGTGAGTACAAGAGCGCACATGGCCGAATGCCTTGGGATGAATTGCGGCACCAAATAAAAGTCCTTCTTTTGCAGAACAGAACACTTAAGCTCACATCCTCCAGACTGACAAAGATAACAAAAAGAGATTTTGTGTTTTGTTTGGAGCATCTGTGCTGTTTATTATCTTATCCTCATACACATGTCCATATAAAGTAAAAGTGAATGTTTTGAAGCACCCGCTGTTATTCATGTCCTGGTTATCCTCACCCGTCTTCTTTTCTTTGTCAGTCGTCCTCTTCCCAGGAGCTCTTGCATCAGCTGCCGCTCCAGCCAACACAAGATGATCTCCACTTCCTGTTTAAACATTTCCGGAGCACAGAAAGTGTGGCAGATGAAGAAGGACTACACACTTCTCCCCCTGTCAGGCTCCGCTCGCGCAGTCTCAGGTAGCATCCATTCCAAGCTAACCATTTGGCTTAGCATTTAGGTTCAGTGATTTCCTGTCATCGAGCTGTTCACTGTTCAAGAGTCCAAGATCATTTTCGGTCATAGAGATGAATGAGATAAAAAGATTATGGGAAAATTCCAGAATGATGATGAATGTGTGCGTGATCATAGAGGACCACCAAAATGTAGCGGTTTGTTTCTTAGACTGTACCATTAAATGCTGTGGTATCTTGACTAGTCAGTGTCCCAGCTTAGATTTTCAGTTATGAGGCTTCACTTCCTTGATTTGTGTGTTTTTTTTTTTTTTGTTACTCGCTTTGTGTTTCGACCCAAAATTAAACATATGAATGAACTTCAGTTATGCTGCTGTGCGAGTAAAGAGACAGTAAAATGGAGAAAATAAAGAATCGTAATGCGCTCGCTTGTGGACAAGGCGAGCCACAACCGCTGATGCACTTTCAGCCGTTGAATGAATGGGACCAATAGTCAAACACACAAATACAAAATGAGAACACTTGTCTGGACCGACTCTGATTCTATCCCCTGATGTCACTCTAGGCCACGCCCCGTGTCTGCATGTGCGTGTCTGTATGTGTGTGTGTGTGTGTGTGTGTGTGTGAGTGTGTGTGTGTGTGTGTGTGTGTGTGTGTGT